CGTGCATTTTATTTCTCTCCAAGTTGGCTCTGTTTGTGTGTCCGTGAGTCTGTGCGCTAAGATGAGGAAAAGCAACACACGCCGAGCATCTTCCCTTGTAATGACTAAACCTTTTGTCCAACAACAAAAAAGAACATTATAACATTCTTTTACTGCACAACATCAGACAAATGTTTTAAAAAATGTCCTTCTTGATCTGATGTGGCTTCTTATCACAGAATGACGCAGAAATATATTCTACACTGGAATAACGGCTAAATCGATTAGCAGTGGATTATAAATATAATGTTACTTAATTATTTAAATACTCAAGGTGGTTTTAAGAACACAGATAAACATTGTCACAGTACAGTGTTCATTATCTTAATGTTCTTTTTGAACATCATCATTTAAAGCGTTTCTGTCTTCTTTCATTCAGTTACAGCGATAACTGGCTGTTTTTGTCCATATTAGGGATTTCCTGGAGCGTCCTGAGTTATATTTCTTCTATAATGTATATGTGGATTTTCTGCGCGAGGGGCCCTTAGGCGTCCAGTGTGAATGAAACACACATTACATGTGTTCATAGCACTAAATAATGGCCAATCCATAAAAATACTAATTCTTTTTTTAAATTGCATTTAAAAATAGCAAAAAAGAACTAAACCAAAAACTGTGGTAAAAAAAAAACCCCCGAGGTATTTATGCGCCCCCCCCCCGGCCGCACTGATGGTACTCAAAAAAACTTTCCAAGGTTGGCAGGTCTGCAAATATAACATACATGAAATAACCCAGATATAGCATACATGAATCACATCATAGCAGATCTATACTGGTGGAGCTGGGGAAGGTGGAGGGTTTCTGAAGCAAGCTGCAACTGCTACGGCAAGCACTAGTCATATTTCTGAATGTTGAGCAGCGAGCTCATTGGCTACCGATACAGGCGATAACCAATCAGCTGTGCCATGTGATAATGATGTCATTAGGTCAGATTTAGTTAGACCTATCGGACTGCGCCATCTAGAGTTTCATGCAGTTCATGGACAGGGGACTGATTATCTTTATCTTTATAGATAAAATACAAGCATGATGTCTGTCAGCAAAAGTCTAATTTTTATATTACCAGATCAAGGTCAATATAAACATGCTCCCCAGGAAATGAAACCAGTGCCTATCGAGTATATAGGGTAGGTTTCTATTTTAAACTATGTTGTTTCAGCATTTCTTCATCCCACGGACAGATGAAACAGATCATGTTTTTGAAACCAAAGATGCAGTAGAGTAAAAGCGAATGAAAAATAGCCCATGTCAACTGAGAACGACACTAAAGAAACATTACGTCACAACATTAGTCACAGTGTGAAAGTCAAGTGTTGCTCGCTTTGATCAAGTCTTTTTAAACTGAATGTTTTGTCATGCAGGTCTGAGGCTGATGCCAAGCTCGGCGCTGCTTGACATCTTGTGTCGAATGGAGGCGGCGATACGAGAGTATTCGGAGGAACTGGTGGCCCAGCTGGCCCGGAGGGATGAGCTGGAGTTTGAGAAGGAGGTGAAGAATACCTTCATCACAGCTCTGATGGAGGTCCAGAACAGACAGAAGGAGCAAAGGGAGCTGAGCAAGCGCAGGCGTAAGGACAAGGCCGTGAGTCTACAAGGGCCTGCCCGCTCCGAGAAGACTGGGAGCATGCCTGCAAAAGTACGTGTGTTGAAATGAACTGCATGATGTTTACCTCCATTCAGTCTCCATGCACAGACATCTCTCTCTCCGTTTAATGGATCTCGCCCCATTACTCTTCAGCTGCACTTAGCACATACTGGAAGAGCAGAGGAAGCATTCCCCTGCAGTATGAGCTGTGAAGGCAATACCAGTAATGCCGCTGTGATTTCATTACATCATGCAAGAACTGCATCTCTGCGTCCTCATCCTCCATGTTCTCACAGGGATGAGTTGATCATTTTAGTTATTCTGTACACAGTGGCTAGAGTTAGTGGCAAAATTATGAAGCTCAAATTTAATATATTATGTTTGCACTTTTTTCCTGAAGTCAGAAGCTTAGGATTTTAGCCAATAAATGATTGTATGCTCTGCGTCCTCATCCTCCATGTTCTCACAGGGATGAGTTGATCATTTTAGTTATTCTGTACACAGTGGCTAGATTTAGTGGCAAAATTATGAAGCTCAAATTTAATATATTATGTTTGCACTTTTTTCCTGAAGTCAGAAGTTAGGATTTTAGCCAATAAATGATTGTATAGCCATGTCATGGCTGATAATTGATAAGTGGCTACTATTATTATTTTTAAAATTAATATTTGTTAAAATGCACAATCATTTCAGATTTTTTTTTCATAATTTCTAGATCCCCAGTTGAATTCTACCAGCTTCTAAGCCTCTGGCACTTACTATTTGATGTTTTAATGTTTTCCAGCGCTTCAGCATGGAAGGTCTTTCCAACATCCTGCAGACAGGCATCAGACAGACCTTTGGGACCTCAGGGACAGAAAGACAGGTAAGGAGGAGCATTTCAGTTAATGTTCTGAACTAAACTTGCATATATACTGTATGCAGGAATAAGATCTGATTGTAAACTCTTTCTTATTATTTTTTCATACGTATGTTGGACAGTACCTAAACACAGTCATCCCATATGAGAAAAAAGGGGCTCCTCCATCTGTGGATGACTTGCAAATGCTCACAAAAAGTTAGTGTACTGAACTGCACTAATACTAATGATATTTGCTAATACTGATTTATTTAAAACTTAACAAATTTAGGCCATCAAAGTAAAAAAAAAAGTAGTGACCATTAATTCAACTGATATTGTTTTTCAGTTCTTTATGCCATGAAAGAAGACAGTGAGAAGGTCCCGACCCTCCTGACTGACTATATATTAAAAGGTAAATCTAACACCCCCACCCCCCATAATTAGAATCATTTTTAAAAATAATTTCGTATTATTATAATTTTTGTGTGTTTTTAGCTGTCATCATTTTTATATAGTATTATTATTTATTTAGAAATTTTAGAGAAACTAACTGTGGCTCTGAAATAGGTTATAATTTGAAAACATTTTACCAGCTAGGAATTGTCTTTTTTGATAATGTTTATTTCTACCTCAATTTAATTCAATAGCTGGATTCACAGAATATCACTGTTCTCCTCTAAATATTCTCATAAATAACTCACCTGCATTATTTTAGTATCACTGAGTTTTTTAATTAGTTTTCATTTTAATTGTAAAGTTTTAGTAATTGTGTTGTTTGTTTTTTGTCATTTTTATTCGTTTTTTGTTTTGTTTTGATATGTTTAGATAGTATTACGTTTTATTTCAGTTTTAGTTATTTTAGTGCATCAAGTTAAACTAAATGAAATGAGAAATGTTGCTTTGGCAACAAGCTGAAATGAAATAATTTTTTTATATTGGATTTTATTTCAGTTTTTTATGGTTTTACATTTAATTAAATATAATATAACGCTATATAATACAATATATAAATGTATCTGAAGTACACGCACAGACATTTAGTAGTGTTGAGACCAATAACACAATATCACGTCTCCATCCTGCAGTTCTGTGTCCTACCTAATATCTTGAGCGTGATGTGCTGATGGTGAGACTGTCTTCATTCGTCCTCTCTCAGTTCTCCAGCCCAGCTGCATGAGCTCCCTTATTCAGTATCAGCGAGGGACCCTGAACATCTAACCATCCTTCTCTTGCTTATCTAATGACCTTTGACCTTGCTCATCTCACTGCCCTTCCTGTATTCACATATCCACGAGGTTCATACCACAGCGCCTGGTGCTTTACATGTTTTCTACTACGTACGTTACTACGGGCCAAAAGCCATATGGAACGTGTAAGGGTAACAGGTGAACGATAATCGGTTTAACTCTACGATCAGGTAATATTTTTATTTTTATTTTTAAATATACACCTAACATAAGGCATTTTACATACTACTCGGTCATTCACATCCGTTCTGAACACAGGTGATGATGAGAAGGGCATTATTCACAATCTTATTAAGGCGTAGATGAATTGATTCGAGAGCACATTTGAAAATAATCCATCCATAATTTCTGCTTTTGCCATTTTAGTATTGTGGCTTCATTTCAGCCAATGTTGGTTGAAAATACAGCATGTTTTAGTGTTCTACATTAATGCCAAATTATTGGGAAAAACCTTGTTTTACAAACCTCTTTTTGGCTTTTCTTATTTTGGGTAACCTGAGATTTTTTTTCATCCTTATGTATGAAATATTCAGTTCTACGTAATGTGGTTTCCTTGACCATCCATTTGTCTAATAATTTTTTTTTTTCTACTGAACAGAACTGTTATTCATGCCTTTTGCTTACATCTTTAATGTATATATTTCTTATATACTAAGGGACATGGAGGAATGTGAAGTATTGCGGAGTTATAATTCCAATAAATGTCAAACCCTGTGAAAGCTTGTTTGCAACAGCATTAGATGTTTTGTGTCATCTAAAAACAATATCTGAAATATATCAAATGTTAGATAACGCAAAAAAAAAAAAAAACAGGAATAAATGTTTTGCTAATTTTGAATGTTGCACCACTGTCACCTTAGCTTATTAGCCATACTGAGTCTGACCCTAAATGTTACACCTTGCGGCTTATTTATATTATGTAACGCGTTAGGTTATCTTTTCCAAGTATTGTTAATAATAGGTCACTAGAAATGTCCTAAAACACTAGTTTTAATAGTATCTTACCTTCTGCTCTCTTCTTTTTAAAGCAAGTCTTCTTTCCACTTTCCAACGAAAAGCGCATGCACGACTGATTTTTATTGTGCATTAATTTACTTGGTAAGCATTAACATAAAAATAGGTCATTGCTGGTCAATAACGCCAGGACTGGATCACAACAAATCGGCTACATACATATGTTAAACATCATACAAAATATATGAAATGACAACAAAAATATATGAAATGCTAAATTCCGGACTCTGCAGAACATTACTACATTTCCTAGTAAATGAACAGCTTGCATTTGTACAGCCGGTTTCTTTTAATTAAAAATATGAATACAAAGTGTTTTCATGTCTATACAATAAATGTCCTATAGAGAACAGTTTGAGGTTGTGCAGTCTGCGGATGACAAAAAGATTGACATGGGTATAGGCAATAAAACATTTCTAATAAAATAAAGGTAAATAGTTTGTCTGAAAAACAGTCAGTAGCACTGTTGAGTACATACAATACAACATACTTAAAGATACAGCAGTTGTTTAAAAAGCATTTATGAAATATGTGGTAAAAAAAAATAATACAACATGATTTGGCATACTTCTAGATTGTGATTTATTGTATGGTCTGCTATACTTAAAGTGACCATGAATTGCCATTTGCAACCCATTTTACTTCTGTAATAGGACAAATTTCTGAGTAAAACCAGGATGTTCAGTGACTTGCATTAAGAAAATAAATAGGGTCCATTTTGAGTTCATGTTTCACTGGTGCATTTATTTTCTTTTACCCTTACTATGACCTACGTTTGCAGCCTGTCTGCCCGTCATATTTCTTAAGATACCATTCATTTTGTTAGGAATTTGTCAGCTTTAACTGTAGTAGCATTAGCAGTCTGGAACAATGCTGATAAAAATGACAAGGAAAACTAGTTTCCCCCACATCAACAACCATCGAACATAAACTCTTTGGTTTTGTATCCGATATCCTAGAAGAATCTTCAACTTATTTGCTGTGAAATTATGAGACCTTGACAGACCTTGAATGAGAAATAAATACCTTATTTACAGTAAGGTAATGTTTATAATTATAGTTTACATATTCAATACATTAGATTTAAAACATCATTATGGGGTACAAAAACACTATATAAATTAAGATACCGCCAAACTCTAAACTTTTAAATTGAAAAAAGCTACCACACATCTCTAAGAGATAACACAGATTTCTAAATATTTGGCCAAAAACATTTAAAGGCAAATATAGCAACTTAATGCCACATTTTAAGTGATGTCCTTGACATTCCCTTTAACAGATGCTGCTATGAAACATATGCTATCCACCTTCATTTTAATGTAAGAGTGGGTGCAGCCATTCAAACAAAATAGCTTACTTCCGCATTGCAAAATACGGTGGACTGATCGCATATGCATTAAACATATGTAAACATAATTATTCATGAGGAGTGTCTTTAAATAATGTGGAATAGACCTTTCATTTGTTTTTATCAAGGCAAGTTAGCATCTTTAGATTGCAAGAAGAACAATCAGTAAAGCAGTAACAACAAAAAAAGAACACAAATAAAATTAAGTGAAACAAAAAAAAGTGAATAGTTCCAGGTCAGTGTCTTTTTGTTTACTGTTTAACAGGTTCCACTTTATAGAGAGTAGAGGCTTTTCTGTAATACATTGAACAGTAAAAACTATAAAACAATAAAATGAGCATCTTTACATATATTTGCTTACATTTTTTTTTTCTATATAAAAAAAAAATTCTAAAAGAAAATTACATCATACGTTTTCCATACAGAGGCAATATGCTTATCGGTTCCAATCCATCCTTTCCAATGTGCTTCAGTTTGTGGGACCGCAGACATGATGTCCTCTTCTCTCTTTCCCTTCAGAGGTTGAGCAGAAATGTTTGGTTCTAGACCAGAGAGCCAGCCTGGTTTTGCGCCGGCACCATAATGGGTACCCCTCCCATGCGGGAGATGTTGGCAGCAGTTACGGTGGTGGGCAGCACAGGTGGACGTGGAATCCGAGGCTGGGCGGAGGCTGGCCGTGGCACTGAGGTGTGCTGGGAGCCTCCATTGGTGCTGGGGGGTCCCGAGGGTCCACGGGGCAGGGTGGGGTTGGTGTTGTAGCCTGGCAATGTGCGCTCCAGTGTGGCGTCTGCTGGAGGCTGCGAGCGGTAGCCGGTTGTGCTGCCCCCTGTGGCCGTGAGGATGGACGCGGTGTCGGAGTGAGGGTAATGGTGGTGGTTCTGGGTGTCTCGTGGGTAAGAGCCGGTGTGAATGGAGGACAGGGTGCCGTTTTTAGAGATGATGTCAGATCCAGTGCCACTCTTGGCCCATGAGACACGTTTGGGAGCCTGAGCATCCTCTCTGTAACACGCACAAAAAAACTTAATGTCTACACAAGTTAGAAATCACTAAATCAATCAACAAATCTCAATTATCTTACTTGATTTCATTGGCCAAATCCTCCTCTGTGTCCTTCCGTCTTGTCCACATGAAGACGAAGAAGAGAATGATCAGGATGAGAGCCACAATACAACCAACCGTAACACCAGCGATCATCCCTGCATTAGTCGCTGTACGAAAGGAACAGGAAAAGTTAACGTATGCCTTTTAAGTTACAATTTTATTTTTATCTTCAGACGACTTAAATTACATGTGATGACTTCCAGGTTGATGTAGCACGTCTCCACTCCTGCAGAGTTGGATGCAGTGCACATGTATTTCCCCGACATATTACTGCTCAGATTGTTCAGTTTTAAAGTTCCTGCTGTTTCATCTACAACAACAACAACAACAGTGGGAGGGTAAAGTTAGATTTGCATGTTTACAAAAATAATTTAGCCATTTTTGGAGAAACATGTTAATGCTAATGAGACACATCATGCCCATAGAAAGGAGAATGAATACATTATTTAAACATATTCTTGTGTCTTGGGCACAAAGATAGACTCACTTTGTGCCGGAGGGAAGAAGATCTCTGAGGTGGGGCTGGTCTTGGTCCACTTGTATTCTGGTACCGGCTTACCATCATTAGAGTTACAAGCCAGAGTGATGTTCCCTTTAAGAACAGGCTTTCCTTTAACTTGACAAACTGGCACTGAAGGAGGGACTGAAAGAGACAGGATGGGTCACGTGATGTTAAATCTGCATTTAAAGTGTCTTTCTGGAAAACGCTGAAAGAAAGAATGGCCTGTGTCACAGAACAAGCATCTGACATGTACATAGGCATGTGTGTTTTAGGACTATGCATGTGTGCACCACAGTGTGGCAGTAAGTACACACCTTTAACATTAAGAATGAGCTCTCCGGTGAGTCCTGAGGCCTCCGGAATGATGACCTGGCACATGTACTTTCCTGAGTCTGATGCTTTGGTGTTGTTAATGTACAGAGACAGGTTGGTGTTGGGCATATTATGCATAAAACCGACTCGACCAGCAAACTGGGAAGTGCTATGGCTTAAGCTTCCACCGACGTATGAAATGATCTAAAGAAAAGACAAAGAAGAGGGAGGAAGGCATCAAAATGACAAATGAGGTATGAATAGTTGATAATTAAGGAGATTTAAAGTGAAACATGTTTTAACAATATACAGGTATATTTATTCATTACATTTTAATATATTACACACACACACACACACACACTAAATTCACATTAAATAAAATATAAACAGATGGGGGTATTATTAACATATAAAACAAATGTTTGGACGTTTTTAATAATAATTAAATATATTGCAAAAATAAAAAAGACAAAACTGCTTAGGCAAACAGCTGGAAATTTCTGAGGCAGGCACAGAATTTCTCAGTGGACAGGTCTAAAGGGTTCATATCAGCTGATCCTTCAGTGGGCAGAGTTAATCTGAACTGAAGAAAATGCAGGATAGAGGATTTTACAATCTGCAGATAATACGGTTTCTTACAGAGTAATGAGATGCCATGTAATGCAAAATGAAAGACAATTGCTGCCAAGAGTGGATATTTCAATCACAGTATTATACTAGCTCTTAAGGTAAGATGGTCCAAGTTTGCAGGCAATATGAGATATGTAGTCTGCTGTGATGACCCACATGATTTCTTGTACTTTCAATATGTTTAACACAAAAGACAAAGTGATCCTGTGATTGCAATATTTGAATATGAGCATCCATCCTACATTATTTAATTAATTAAAACAGAAACAAAATATCTATATAAAAAGTGATAATTTTTAAGACACATTTTTTATAATCAGTTCAGAAAAGTCTCTGCCATTCATAATCCAAATCACAACATGCACAGATGGTGCAAAATGTTCTGGCATCTGCACAAAAACGAACGAATGAGTACAATCCCACCCATAATACCAGACCATTTCAAAATCTAATTTGGGCTGACGTAACATTATCGGATTTCATTATAAATCTATGCAGAACCCCCTCGCTGTACTGCATTTGAAGCGTGTTCACATGATTATTTGAGTGTGTGTGTGTGTGTGTGATAATGAGGAGTGGGATTTCGTCTATGTGCACTCTTGACCTCTGGAACTCAAACCGGAGTGATCAGGGACAGAGAGTAACCATTATATTACATCAGCTGCATGCCATGTTACGATCTGAGAAAAATATATCATTATAATGACTTTTATAAAACTATGAAATCAAACTGAAAACAGCCAATATATGCACATGACCCAAGATACTGCACTCCTTATATTGCTCAGCAACCTACAGTAGTTAATGAACTATATTACTTATAAAGTCTTTATTACTGCCTGATTATTAGTATTCATATTTCATAGTTTTCAGAGTATTACCTTTTACTATAATACATTGTCTCTCATTTATTCTAACAAAAAGAGCTTAAGAATTCCCATAATATTTATATTAATTATTAAGGGATTACAATTATTATTATTATAGTTATTAATTGTTTAGTAACTAAAAGCAGTTTATATGGGCAAAATAATACATTTTAATATGACAAGCCTAAATTATGCTAATATTATTATATTATACTACTATATTCTATGTACATCTGACTACTCATCGTCACAGTATACTGTACACAGACTTTGCACTACCTTGGGTGTTTATTTTTAATATTAGCTTATTTACATTTTGTTTATTATTATTACTTATGTTAATCTTGTTTTAACATTTTTATCTGCTATTTATTTATATTTAATTCACAGTCAAAGTAGCTGACTAGGTATGCTTTAAATAAATAAAAGCGACAAATAACATGTTCATGTTTTTAACATCCGAGATTTTTGGGTGTAATACGTAATATATTCAAAAGTCATTTATTTAAAAATAAATTGTTTAACTTTTTTTGTAGTTCACTTAAGTATTTCTAGTGTGACAAATACATTTGTATTAAGTATAAATATTCAATGCTGTCTCTCAATTAATATGAATAAAATAAAATATTAAGAGTTCATAAAATTAATAAAATCAAATAATTCTGATGTGTAAAAAATATTTTTAGATGAAGTATGGCATGTCACACTGCAGGACACTAATGTCTCTGTCAACACAAACAAAGAAAAACAACATATAGAAAAGAGTCACCATTTCTGTGCTGCTGGACATGTAGTTCCAGACCACTGTATTTTTCTTAATCTCCACACCAGTGTAAGAAGCCTGCAGCACTACCATCTTCCCTTGGATCACTTCTACATTTTTCTGAGGTAGCTGAAGTTGGGCCAGGTCACCTGGAAAGATAAGGAGAGAAAGCAAAAATCGATTAACAACTTGAAATCCGCTAAATATTACCAATCAACCCAGCTGACAGCCTCCAAGTCCAAGTGCACTCATTTGAAACCCCAATAAAAGCTACGAAACATTCAGGAGTGACATACACTCCCCCAAGTGGAGGTAAACCAGCTGAATCCAGCTGTCCTGGTTGTCCGTCTGATCCGCCAGCTTGGCTGGGATGCTTCAGCTAGGCTCCCGGAGAAACAAATATGTGCCACAGAGACTCATAAGAGAGAATCTGCTTCTAAAATGCTCGTCACTTATGATTTCAGATGAAAGCCCGCAGGGAGAAAAACTTGGTGACGCAACTGCCGAGCATCTTGTTTCAAGCTTAGCAGAAGGTACGTGAGAGGGAGAGGGACATTCACAGGCCCACTGCAATGAGCCACAATGCCATGCGTATGTCGAATTCCCCTCCCTGTAGTGTAAACCCACTAATCCTCAACTAGAATCCTGTTTGTGCTCATCTTTCTGACATTTTCTTCTGCTTTATGTTTGCAGGTTAGTCTTTAACCTGATTTAGCAATTATAGTCAAATTGCTTCCAATGACTCTCGCCAAATAAAGCCGTTGAAATGTAGCCTATATATGGGACTGGATCAAACGTTGAACTGAACTTTATGAATGTATAAACTAAAGGAATTGATCTGCTTTCACTGAAAATCTTGATCAACAATTCATTGTAGAGGTCAAAGGGGAAAACAGATTTCTGGTCTTGTCTCTTCCATATTTATCTTGCAAACAGTGGCAGTTCTATTGTTTACCAAAAGAAGAAAAATATATCTCAATCCTGTGCTCCAGTCTGGCTCCCTCTGTCATTTGAGGGCACTGTCAAGGACCAGAGGTCACGGCAGTGATCTGCAGCCCGTATGGACTGTGAAACTTTTCAGATTAAAATATTTATAAACAAACATACAGAGAGTACAGACAACATGTGTACTGATTATCATGACAATGTACCACACATGGTGTAAACTAAAAGTCCTTTTATTAAAAGTATTAAAAAACCTTTCAGACCCCAAACTTTTAAACGATAGCAAATATTAAATTTTGTTGATGAGTATTCATGTCTTTCAAACTAGCATTCAACTCAGTCAATTAAGAGTTTATTCTAGTGTATCCTATCAACTAGATTTGTAAATAAAACAATTAACAGCTTTCTAGCATGAACACTAGCATTTTAAATCAATAATTTACAGTTCATTCACAATAACACAAACTTCAAGAACATTTTCCATAATCTGCGTGCTAGGGTACATATACGAAGCATGTTAAACCCTAAGCAGTTTAGAAGTAAAGCTTAAAGACAGAGAAAAAAAAATATTATTTTCCATGAACTTTTAGAACAAGAGTTTGACTTTAAACTGCATGACTGCCTACATACCAGTAGAGGGCAGCAAATGCTATGCAATAAACTCAGTCATTTTAAATAAGAACATAAAGGAACACCAAGTAATATGTTTTGAGCACTTCATTACTTCATTCAGGACTTATGATAGATGTTTATTGACTCATGCATCCAGTCTTATGTTACATGTTACAAAATGTTACAAAAACGGCATTCTTCCATCTTAGAAACATTGCCAAG